TATTTTCCTTTTCGTTTCCTGATCTACCACACCTTTAAGCTGAGGGCTGGTCGATCTGTTGCATCAACACAGGTCACAGGTAAATGCAGATCTGCTTCAAAGGTTTCCATCACCCTTTCTCTCTCCTTATACCTATAATAAGCACCATAGTACAAAATTTACAAGTTAGAAACCAAGAGATTGAAAATACCACAAACTTTTGTACTCTAAATTGAGTTTTGGAAATAATACTTCTCCCAAGGCATGGATCTACTACATGTAACTTTTAATGATTCAGGAGAAGACATGGATCTACTACATATAACTTTTAATGATTCAGGATAAGACAACTAGCTTCTCACCTCAATAAACCATTGTCGACAAAAACACAATGAAGTCTATCTCCAATTGCCTTGTGAACAAGTGTTGCAGCAACTGTCGAATCCACACCACCAGACAATGCACATATTACATGATCTTCAGGCTGCACAGTGCTCCTGATCACTTTAATTTCTTCATCCAATACATTCTCCATCTTCCAGCCTGCACTTATTCCACAAACATCAAAGAGGAAATATCGCAATGTCTCCATCCCTCCGGGTGAATGTGTTACCTATATACAAAATTCAAAGTGGCAATGATATATGATGGTAAAATTTAAAAATACTTCATAAACACCTCCACATGAACAAGAAGCATACAAGAAAAGGAACTACTCCTTTTGATATTAATTCTGGAGCAAATGATTCGAACTTCAAACATAAATAACGTTTTTAGAAACAAAAACCCTACAGCAGTCTTCTGAAATGATTTGAACTTAATTCTGCAAATAATTTCATGCCACAATCTAATCATGGAATATAAACTACAATGAAGAAAAGCTTTAACTCCCAAAACTAGAATGTAGCAAGCTTTCCATGAAGAGTATCAGACACAGGGCAAGACTACAATTTATCTTCTTAAAAGATTCCTCCTCTCCACTCCCAATTACTGAAATCCTCATCTCATACTACTAGCCAAAAAAAAAAACGGATCTCACATTCTGTCCCCTACTCAAGAGAACCGTATGGCACGCCATTGAAGCCGCCATAAAGAAGCCATTTTGTTATACCAGTTGCAAAATAACGAAATAAACCATAAACGATTGTAATTGGTCAACAGTCACTACGTTGTTCCAGCTCACGCCAAAAGCAAGTTAATCACCAACATATCATCAAAAATAAAAAATACATAAACCCGAATCCCAATCAATTTTCCCATTATGTGAAAATGAAGCATATCCAAATCAAACCCACTTACTTCTGGATGATATTGGAGCCCAAAGAACCTCCTCTCCCTATTCTCCACGGCAGCCACCGCCCCCTGTTGGCTCCTGGCCACCACCTCGAACCCCTCCGGCAACCGCGCCGCCTCATCTCCGTGACTCATCCAAACCATCTGCTTGTCCCCAACCTTCTTTGACCCAAAAATCCCAAGATTCTTCTCTACTTCAATCTCCATCCTTCCATACTCCTGCTTCTCCCCAATCCTGACCTCACCCCCCAATCTTTGCACGATCAACTGCAAGCCATAGCAGACACCTAGAACAAACACCCCGTTGGATTGGGCCCACTCGACGAAGCCGGAAGGAAAAGTCGGAGAGTTGGAAGAATGGACCGAGTGGGGACCTCCGGAGAGAATGACAACACGGGGATTGAGGTCAGCGATGGTGTTCAGAGAAGAGGTGCCGGAGATGCAGAGAGAGAAAACGGAGAGGGACCTGATACGGCGGGTGATAAGGTGGGTGTATTGCGAGCCATAGTCTAGGATGAGGACTAGGTCTGACTTCACTGTTTTCGGGTCCATCTCCCTGCTGGTGGCTGTTCAGGGTTCTGTTGAC